TGAGTCCATGGACAATTCTGGGATATTGCCTTAACTGAGCCTTGTATCCCAGAAAGCCATTATCCGAAACATTGCCTTCGGTTGGCCCTGTGTTTCGGATATCCATTTTTTAAAGAACTCTAGTCTTTCATCTGAAGTCAAGCTTCAGTAAGATTTGTTCTCCAAGGGCATGAGTCCATGGACAATTCCGGGATATTGCCTTAACTGAGCCTTGTATCCCAGAAAGCCATTATCCGAAGCATTGCCTTCAGTTTGCCCTGTGTTTCGGATACCCATTTTTAAGAAATAAAGAAATTGTTTATTCAGCTGAAGTCATACTTCAATTCATGGGGGGGGGGGGCAAGAAGAACTACCAGTGCAAGTTTATGTTCAGCAGAATTGAAGAAACAGTAAAGCATTCAAAAACAAAGCAGCTGAAGAAAAGAACATCAAATTAATAATTTATGCTCAGAAATTGAGCTACAAGTTCAAATAAGTTAAGAAACTATATCGGCAGCCGCCCACAAGCGAAAAATAACAGCTGCCGAAATACGTACAGAAGCAAAAAATTAAACTGGTTTGTACGACAAGGCAAGCTGAAGCAAAAAACAAGGCAAAAAATTCAGAAAGCGGCAAGTCTAAAGTTGAGCGCATGATGAACCGCAAGATTCTGAAGACGACTGCCCGAGTTCCTATGCTTCAGCCCGAGGATCAGACTGGTCAACATTGTTGAGCCCCATGGTGGTCTCAGCCCCAGCAGTAGAAGAAGCAGGCTTTGCACTCTGCCGAGCCTCCCTTTCCCTCTGTTCAGCCTCCAACTCCATTCTCTCAGTTTCTTCTTCGGCTTCCTCAGCCATAAGAATTTCAGATTCGACTGGAGTTGCATACTTCATATGAGGGTCTTCGGGATTCTGGACCCATTCAGCACATTTGGACCAGTCCAGCTTCGGCTCAGCATGAAGGCAGACTCTTCGGCACACTTTGAACCCGTTTTTGAAACCCATTTCATATTCTTCCTAGGTATAGACACGGACTTTGAGTAGAGCCTCAGCATCAGCCAACTTCTTCTGGGTCTCCTCCAAGTCTTCCTTGGATTTCTTCAGCTCATCGGCGAGCTTGGAGGAGGAACCTTTCAGCTCATTCAGCTCCTGCTGAACTTGGGAAGCCTCTGTCTAAGCCTGGGCCACTTCTTCCTTTTTGGCCATCAGCAGATCCTCAGCCTCATGGAGCTTAGCTCTCTGAGCTTCAGCAGCAGCAGCAGCCTCTGAGAGTTGGACATCCCTGGCTTGGAGCATCTCTTCAGCAGCCATTCTGCTGGCTTTAAGAGCTTCTAGCCGTTGTTGCACTTCAGCTTGTGCAGCAGCTCCTTCCTGGATTCGGCTCTCAATGGCAGCCTTGAATTTGGAGACGTCCACTCCCATGTGCTCTTGGAGGAATTTTTCCCCTTCCATCAGTGGGGGAAAAAACTTCCTTCTCCATAGCGTCGTAGAAGGTTTTGAAGGCTTCAACAGCTTTTTTCTCATATTCCTCACCCTTCTGCTGCTTCTCTTCAGCTGCTGCTTGCTTCAGCTTAGCAAGCTTTAACTCCTCTTCGGCTACCTTTTTGTCGTGCTCGCCAGCGTCTACCCTATCTTGTAGGGTATCTATCAGCTCTACAGTGAGAGTCTGATTGTGCACGAACTGAAAACAGGAGCACAAGTTTAAAAAAATAATAAAAATAGGGCTGAATTTTAGAGGAAATAAATGCAAGGAAAATCACCTGCATCATCAGCAGTTGGTTAGACCTGGCTGGGTCAGGAACTGATCTGCTGGATTCGCCCATCCCAGCAGTGGCCTTCAGCGACCAGATTCTTGCCCTATCTACTTCGGACGTGCCAGCAAAATCGCCGAAGTAGGCTGCAGCACCTTCTCGGTTCTGACCCCATATGAGGTCCCAGATGTGATCTGGGATTGGAATTCGGGGAGCCGAGAAACCCATTTCTCCAGACTGCAGAGTCTGGAAGGAAGGAAAGGATGATGACGGAGCTTCTTTAACTTTGGATGGCTCAGCATCCTCCTTCTCAGAAGAGTCAATTATTATGACCTCTTCTTCTTCAGGGGTGAGGACGAAAGCCTCAACCTCTCTTGCAATGTCTTCCGTGAAACCCTCAGCACTAGGCATCACGGCATCCTCATTCTTGTGCTCAGCAACACTCTCCTGAACTTCTTCTTGGACCCCTCCCTTAGATTCGGGAGTTTTCTGATCCACCTCTATCTCAGGAGGTGGCGGAGGGGTCTTTGGAGGTGATTGAGGTGGTGGCCGGGGAATCCTCGGCGATCCATTGCCTTCCTCGGGTTCCCTTATTTCAACGCCGATGGTTATCGGCCTCCGCTGAAAGTCATGCGGGCCGATGATGGCCATTCTTCGGCGCCTTTTCTGAAGCGGCTGCTCGTCCATGTCTGAGTCTGAAGACTCTTCTTGTATCTGGTCTTCGGGACGAACAGGGGCTTTCCCTTCTCTGTGTCTGTTACTCTCTTCAGACTGTAAAAGACAGGGGGGAGGAAGAATGTGAGTACAAAAAAAAAAAAAAAAAAAAAAACAGACAAAGTTAAGTCTGAAAGCTCACCGAGGTCTTCAGAAAAGCCTCGTCTTCTTCAGCTGCCCTAGCTGCAGCTTCTTCTTCAGAAGCCTTGGAGGACCCTTCTCCTCCTTCACAAGCTTCAATAACCCGTGAAACCTCTTCGGCCGTACGGGCAGCTTCAGCTTCTTCGTCCAGCAGCTGAAACCAGGGATCTCTCTTCTTCCACCAAGGCTTCTGCCTCTAATACAGAGCAACAACCTCAATTTGGAAGTGGGAAGAGTCTAGATGAACTTCCCTATGCCTCGGTTCAGTGATAGAGGGGGCCCAATCAGTTACAACTCGTTCTCGGTTGACGCCAAGACGAGCGTAGTTAATGCCGACGTTGGTCTCGTCCCGCTCTGAAAAAGAAAAAGGGAAAGGTCAGTTCAGTTAGGTTGGCACAGCGTAAAAAAGCGAAGTGAGAGGAGAAAAAGAGATAATTAAAAAGCCTCGGCCCCAGCCGAAGAAGCTTACCATCCTTAAACTTTCGGCTGAGGCCGACAGCTGCTAGCATGTTCTCTTGGAAAACATAATGCGTATCGGGGAGCCAAGTCTCCGGGATATGGTGCATTCGGCCGCTGCCCCCCCCCCCCGGTTCGGCAGCTTGCCGGAGATATTTTGTTGATTAAGGTTTGGATCTGAGCCGTTATCTGCGGGGGGACCTAAACTTCCCATGTCGGGATCAGGCTCAGCAAGGTACCGGGGAGCGCTGAAGACGCAAGGGTGGCCCGGGTCCGTGGGTGCCCTAACCCAAATCCATTGACCTCTCCAGTCCTTGTCTGAAGAGTCGTTCGGCCACATGGTTAGGTACTGGGGCCGAGACTCAATCCGGTACCACCCAGAACCATGACTTCCGTGCCCACTTTGAATATTTGGCACTAGCCGATGAAGCTTTTTGAAGCAGTGCAGGTTCGGCACATACTTGAAGAACTTGCAGACCCATAAGTATGTCATCACCCTTCGGATGCTAGTAGGAGTTAGCTGACATAGGGAAATATTATAATGGATCAGCAAGTCTCGGACGAATACGTCCAAAGGGAACCTCAGCCCATACTGAAGTTGTCTTGTGTACACCCCCACATACCCCGGGGGTGGACGATGGATTCTATCGGATGCCACGGGCATTCGGCACCAATACCCATCAGCTTCAAGGATGTCGTAATGCAACTCAATTTGTTCGGCAAACCGATACTGTTCGGCATTCTCCACCCACCATGAGTAGGGGCGGTTCTTTATCATGGCCGAAGCTACTTCGGCATCCTCCCACTCTGAAAACCCGGGGAGGATATCCCAAAGGACAGCGGGAACTTCATCGTCCCGCCCAGAAGCGCTCAGCCCCTCCGTTCTGTGAGGAGGAGCCGAGGAAATTGGAGTCGCCCTAATCCCTTCAGCAGGGTCAGACTCTGGTCTTTGTCCATTCCAGGTCCCAATCCTGTTCCTAGGATCGGGAATTGGCCTTGCTCTTCTTGGAGCACGGGCTCTACCCCTAACTCCTCTTGCCATTGATAATTTCGAAGAAAAAAGTCGAAAAAAGGGAAGGAGTTCGAATTCGAAGAAAATAAACTAAAATCAAAGGAATTTACCTTAATCTGAAGCGAAAGTTGCCGATTTACGAATTGGTAGTGGCAAGTCTCAGTTTCTAAGCTTAATGCTCGGGGAATTTGCGAAGTTTTGATGCGGGTTCTTGGGTTCTCTTGAGAATTCTGGGTTTGTGTTGGTGAATAAGTTAGGAGAGATAACGCGCCTCTGATTTTATCTCCAGAAATGGGAATACGGGGAGTCCGCGTTTCAATTTCTCTTAAATACCCCACTAAGTAACCGTTAAACACACGACCTTGCGATTAAACTGCCCATTATCCGTCCAACTTCCACAATCATCCGCCTTAACCGTTGTTATCTCATTAATTACGGTTTAAATTCAAATTTTTGGATTAATTAAATCATTCACTTCCCTCCTTTTCTGATTAAATCAAACCCGACCCGTCATCCTTCCAAATCGGGTCTGAGGGGCTAGTTGTTTGGGTCCAATTTAGTCCAATTGGGCTTAGGCATTAAATAATCCAATTAAAAGCCCAAGGTCAAGGTTCATCTCTCCAATTGTGCTAAAGTCAAAGATCAGCCCTCAAGGCAAGCCAATCGGGCTAAGGCCCAACTTCTCCATGTATGAAGAGGTATAAAAGCCATCAATATTACATTTTTTACAGATATTCAAGCAAAGCCTCAAGCAACTAATTCTCTTGCATGGTCTTCTCTTTCTACACACTGTACTTACTTTAGCATCGGAGGGGCCTTCCTCGGCAACACCCCCGAGGCTAGTTTACGTGTGTTTACTGTGCAGGAAACCTTCGGCCCAACATTTCTTGGATCGAATCTAGTCTTCACTACTTCATCGGACCTTCGGCAAGGTCCCATTGTTTTCACCCGAAACACCAAGTACCCTATCGAAGCCCTTGTAAGCTGTTTTTGTAGTTCCTCTTCCAATGATCTCATTGTACCTTACGTATCGCCCACACGAAGATGTCTCGATATCGATGTGATCATTGTTGTTACCTCCCTGTGAACTTGAAGCCATGACTGATGAACTCAAGAAATTGAAAGGAACAAAGATGATTTCTATTCAAGTGTTTAACGTAGGAGTTCATGTTTATTGAAGAAATTAAGTATGGTGGAATGTGGCAATAAAGATGTAAAATGTGATTTCAAGAGTAATATTAGATTTCCAATGGTTATATATATATATTATAACAATTGGGTTATATTATAACAGTTGGTAAACAAGTAACCGAAAATACCATTATATTTCTTGATTTTCACATTAATTAATAAAATGTAAAATGAAATTAAGTACTCCTTTTGTTTTTATAAAAATGATTGGTTTTACTACTTAATTATATGTAATTTTGGTGTAATATGCAAGGTGCTTAATGTGTTTTAAATTTATTAATGCATTTTTAAATTTTAAGGAGATTAGTATAAGCACCCATACTAGAAAGCTAAGTTAATTACACGTGTAAATACGAATAATTAATCAAGACTAGTAACACAATTTAATTTTAAATTCTAATATTGATATCATGGGAATGTACCAGGTTAGTAACGTTACTATTGCTACCAAATTTGTGTAGTTTCATTAAACATTTGATTATCACTCTCTTTGTCCCTAAAAGAACAATTCTTTTGGGTATTTTTCACAGGTATTAACAAACTTAAGTGGGAGTACAAAGTGTATGAGAAAGCTAATAAAAATACATTGAAAGGATAAATTTACATTGAATTTGTAAAAAAAGTAGAGAGAGAAATTAATAAATGTATATGAAAAAAGCAAAATTTACGAGTGGAAGCAGTGGCGGATCCAGGATTTCCGACTTGGTGAGTCACTATCAATTATTGATTACTTGTGAAAGTACAAATAATTTTTCCAAATCTTGTTCATAATTAATTTCAATCCAAAAATTCTATATATACATATATATATATATATATATATATATATATATATATATATATATATATATATATATAAATTATATTTCACCAAATCGATTTCAATCTAAAATAGGACACAAAAATCCATAATACAACCAAATACTCCGTACTACTTAAAAACTCAATCTTACAAGTTGAAAATATTACAAATAACATATTACAAACAAATAGTAATATAAAACTATTACATTAACTTTATGATTTTTTACTTAGAATTCTGGGAAAATATTAAAATTGGTTGCACAAATATAAGATATAAATTATAAATAGAAGCAAAAATTATTAATAATTATTAAATAAAAAAATGAGATAACTTGATAACCGACTTTTATTTTAAAAAAAATAAATTATTTTATGTTTCTTGATCTTGATAACCGACTTTTATTTAAAAAAAAAAAAAAATAAATAAATAAATAAATAAATAAATCTTGATAACCGACTTAACTGGTTTCGCGTCAAAATTTAACTAGCACTATATATATTCCATCAATCCTTTTATATTACTTTGTTTCTTCTTCAAAATTATGCCTTCATTTTTATCCATAAAATTTATCAAAAATATTCTTTCCCCGTACTAAAGGCGGCTTCGACAAGGCGATTTGCAAGGTACGAGCTATTCATGGGAGAAGGATCGTTCGATAGGCCATTATGGTATTGAAAAACAGCTGAACTATTGATGTCGTTAGACCACAAAAACAAAATGAAATGCTTGGATCAATTTAATAATGGTAGCATTTCGTTGTGTTTTCGTGGTCTAACGACTTCAATTGTTTAGCAATTCCTCAAGATCAGGCAAGGACTCTCTCGAACACAACCAAGATGAAGACCAACTGCAGTCGCAGCGTGCAAGGTATAATTTAGAATATAATAAGTTATTCGATCTTTTATATTAGTGTACTGATGTGACTTATATGTTTGCTTGAGTTTAGGTAGTCTACATAATATTATATTAGTAAGATTGTTTTTTCAGAATTACATAATTTGATTTTAATTCTTCATAAGCATCTTTTATGTAACAAAACCCTTCATCTACGGCTTTCTTATCTCTATATAATAATTGTAGTATAAGCACATCATTTAATCCAAATCATTAGAGTTACCCTAAATAACGACTTAATGCAAAGAACATGATAAGTTAGATTATTTAAATAAGTAATTTATTTAATGAAGCGATCAAGAAACAAGATGTGATCTTTATTTATTTAGAATTTGTAAATTTGTGGATAAATGACAATTTTATTACCACTCTATTATATATATATATATATATATATATATATATATATATATATATATATATATATATAGGGGAGGGATCCGGTAAGAACCCCTCCTTATATAAGAACCCTAGTTATATAAGAACCAATCTCAGCCGTAGGATTAAGGTAATTTAGACGGTTAAGATTAAAACACGTATTTTTCCTCATACCCCCTACGGCCCTACCACCCGATCAAAATTTTCTCTCTCCTCTAACTTTCTCTCTCTTCGTGCTCATCTCATTCTCTTTTGCAAACCCCCAAAAATCTCCATAGAAATTGCAATTTGAAGGATTTTCGACTCAGGTATGTTTTTTTTTTCGATTTTGTTCAAATTTCCATGAACTTAGCATGTTGTTCAAGTAGATTTTGCGATTTTTTGGTTTGCTTTTTGCGATTTTATGTTTTCCGATTTTTTGATTTGATTTTGCGTTTTTTTTTTTCGATTTTGTTCAAATTTCCATGAACTTAGCATGTTGTTCAAGTACATTTTGCGATTTATTGTTTTGATTTTTACGATTTTATGTTTTCCGACTATTTGATTTGATTTTGCGATTTCGTGATTTGATATTTGCGTTTTTATGTTTTTTTAGTTCGATTTTTCGATGATTTTTTCGATTTTAATGGTTTTTCTGTTTTCGATTTTTATGGTTTTTTTGATTTGTTTTTGATATTTCGTGAGTTGATATTTGCGCTTTTTTTAAAATGTCTGCTAAATGCTCGATTTCGTTAGTAAGCGAAATTATAGCTATGAATATGAATGTCCAGTATTTCTTAAAATCACTGTTTTTTTTCTTGTTGATGGATATGTATCTGGTATTTGTTGTTGATGGATATGTGTGATAACACTCTTCCGTCAATGTTATTTAATGGCTTGAAATCGACTTTGAGTTTGATGAGTAGTGAGTCTGAGTCATCTTTTGGATTACCAATGGACACAATACGAGTGACCGGGATTGCTGTACATGTTGCCTTGATTTGGTGGCTATTGTTGTCATTGAGAGGAGAAGCCATGTTTGTATGAAGATTTTGTTGCATATGGTGGTATGGATGGTGGCTATTGTTGTCATATGGTGGTATGAAGATTAATGAGCAAGCATAGCTTGAACAACTTGGCATTACTTATTCTGCTTGCATCAATTAGTCATGTCTAAAAACAAATCTCGCTTATTCTCTATGTTCTATTTTTTCTTATTTTTCTGGATCTATAGTTCGAATTTAGTGTTCGATTTTTGCTGATTTTTTCGATAGCGGCTAGCCTTGGCTAACCTAAAAGAACAATGCATATAGTACTTCGTAGAGTAAATAAAAACTGTAAAAGTATAAAACCCTCTCCCACTACACCAAAAATGTGGGCTCTGACCCTCTAAGTCCTTACAGTACTTAGTATTACATAATCTATTAATTTAGTAGGATTTGGTTTTTAGCTATAAAATGGACAAAATAACAGAGAAGCCTGAGAAGATGAAATTACATTTACATGGGATTTGATTTAATAATGTAAAACATTTGTCAGATGTCAGACTGAAGATTAATTAGTTCTGAAAGGTTTTGCAGAACAATCAGATATAGTGTACAATATAAAATTCTGTCATGCCCAATTCACAAACTTTTTTTCAAAATTGGTGATGTTGGTGCGATTGCCCCTGTTTGTAGGGGTTGTAGTGTGGTGGTTGATTTATGCAGCAGCAGCTAATTGGTTAGGGGTTGTTGGTAGTGAACTTGTGATTGTAGGGCTGAAAATAAACTTTAGAACATAGGTAGAAAAATTTGGAACATAGGAAAAAATTATAACATAGGTTGAAATAATTTAGAACATGGGCTGAAAATAAACTCAATCAAACCTTATCATGTTTCTGTTTCATTTGTCTTTTAAATTTCTAGTTTACTCATTCTATTTTGGGTTTTTCACTCTCCAGCATGTTCTAAACTCTTTTTTAGCATGTTCTAAACTATTTTTCAGCATATTTTAAATTATTCCTATGTTCAAAAATATAATAATAATGTTGGAATGTTACTAATGTTTTTTATTTCTTAAAATTGCAGCAAAATGCAAGGCCAAAATGAAGCAAAATTAGAAGGAGGAGTTACTAATATACAAGAAGAAGAAATTACTTATGTAAGAAAAAGGTAACTAAACTAATGTTCTAAACTTTACCTATTATGTTTTAAATTTTGTTCTAAAGTTTTCCAATATGTTCTAAAGTTTTCCCTTAAGTTCTAAAGATTTGTATTATGTTCTAAAGTTTTCCATTATGTTCTAAAGTTTTCCATTATGTTCTAAAATTTTCTCTTATGTTCTGAAGATTTGTATTATGTTCTAATATGTATCCATTATAGTTTATGTTCATCTTATCCCTTTATATTTGCACTCTATTTAATGTTAGTTGTATTCTAATTATTTTTAATTGTTTTTAAAGGAAAGTTGAAAATGTTGAAGCGGAAGTAATTGATAGATCGGAATTTGAGAAGCATATTGAAAGTAAAAGTGTTGCTATAAGACATAGAAAACTTCCAACAAGGCTTCAACCACCTCGAAAATTGCAAAAAAAGGAAGGAAGAGAAAAAGATCAAGAAGAAGGAAAAGATCAAAAAGAAGAAGAGGGTAATAATGTAGAGGATGATGACAAGAATAATGATAGTAAAGATGATGGTGAGGATGATAATAAGGGTGATGTAAAGATGAAAGAGAAAGATGAAAAAGAGGAGATGGAAGATGATAGTGAGGAGGAACAAAAAATCAATAAAAAAAATCAAACTCAGGTAATAATACTCTTTAATCTTTACAATCTTTATTTTTATGTTCTAAAGTGCACGCTTATGTTCTAATTTTGCTTATCTATGTTCTAATTATGTTTATCTATTCATGGTGAGGATGTGAAGAAGAAGAAAAGAAAGATTGAAAAAGAAGAAGATGGTGAGGATGTCCAAGTAGTAGAAGCTAATGAGCAAGATAAACTAGTTAAGAGGCAACCTTATCAAAGAGTACCTCCTACTCAATTCATGAAGGATGTGTTGATAAATCTTTCGGAAAAACAAAAGCAAGCTATTCGGAACATTGGTTTTGGAGGCTTTTTGGAATTGGATTTACCAATCCATATTAATTCTACGTAAGTAGTAGAATGTTATGTTCTAAAATCATATTCTAAAATCATAAGTATTATCAATGTTATGTTCAAAATTATGATTTGTCATGTTTGAATTGCTATACACTAATGTTCTAAATTATAAGATTATGTTCTAAATTAGTTATGCTCTAAATTTTGTGCATATGTTCTAAATAATATGATTATGTTCGAAATTAGCTATGTTCTAAATTATGTGCATATGTTCTAAATTGTATGATTATGTTCTACATTATGTGCATATGTTCTAAATAATATGATTATGTTGTAAATTACTTATGTTTTAAAGTTACTTCTTGTATTCTAAAATTATGAACTCTCATGTTTGAATTGCTATACACTAATGTTCTAAATTAATTTTTTGTTATGTTCTAATGTATGTTTATTATGTTCTAAAATAGACTTTTTTTATTATATAATGTTCTAAATTATGTTCAAAAGTTTAAATATTATACTAAATGTTTTAATCTTCTATGTTCTAAAGATTGACTATTATATTCTAAATATAGCTGTATTGTGCTTTAAATCTTACATTTTTCATTATAATTCTAGGTTGACAGAAAACTTGGTTACGAATTTTGACACGGAGAGATGTTGTTTGATGTTACCAAAGAGAAAACAAGAAATCTTTTTGGAGGCAATTGATGTTCATTTGGCTTATGGGTTGCCATTGGGAGGCAAAAGGATTGAGCAACCAAATGATGAGTCAAATCTGAAATGGAACAAGTTTCTAAAAGCTTGGAGAAGCAAGTTTGGCCTCAAAAAAGTATGATGACATAATGTGGTTATGTTTTAAATTTTATGTTCTAAAGTATGAATTTTATGTTATAAATTTTATGTTTTAAAGTGCTTTGCTTATGTTCTAAAGTGTTTTTTGCTTTAAAATAGATCTATTATCTCCATAGGTTTTAATTTATATGTTTTTTTTTACCTCTAAAAGGGAAGTCCAACCAACAAGAGATTGATTGACAGAATTCAAGAATTGAAGAAGGAAAAATCAGTTTCTGATGAATTTCTTTGGAACTTTGTGGTATGTGTTGTCAATTGTTGCATTCGATCAACAAACAACCCACAACTATACATTAAATTCTTGTATAATTGTATGGATGTAAAGAAAATTGCTGAATTGGATTGGTGCACATTTGTGATTGAGCACTTGAAAGATTCTGTAAGTGTATGGAAGAAGGGAAATTCTTACTTTACAGGTCCTTTACCTTTTCTAATGGTAAGTTTTAAATTCTTACCATTATGTATATATATTATTCTTGTTATGTTGAAAATGTGTGAAAAATATTCTAATTAATTCTTAACATGTACTAAATAGGTATTCTATTTTGATCGTCTACAAAGAGGAGGGTTAGAAAAACCAAGAAAATGTCCACTAATTTCGGTGTGGACAAAGGAAAGGATTCAAGTGAGATATAAGTTTGAAAAAGATCATGGATTTGGATATGGAAAACTCTTGGAAAGAATGGAATCAATTGTGGTATGATATTTGTATATGTTTATGTTTAAACACTACACTTTATGTTGTTGTTTTCTAAATTTTATAATTTATATACTAGAAGGCACCAAAAGGAAAAAAGAAACAACCAAAACAAAAGGAAAAAGAGAAGAGAATGGAAAAATCATCAATAGGTTCTAGTTCTACAACTTCTCGAAATGACATGATGGTATGATTTAGTTTATATTGTAAATTATATTTTATGCTCCATTTAATCCTTTTCTGTTAAATTATCCATGTTATGTCCTTTATGTTCTAAAATATTTTTGTGTTCTAATGAAGGGCTTTTTTGAGCAAATTTGGAGATTTGGCAAAAACACTTGCCTCGAATGTTAAAGAGATGTATGGCATGTTAGAACAAGCAAAAGATCTTTTTGTTGAGGAAGAAACAACAGGAAAAATGCAACATCTCATAGACAACATATGGTGCAAGTACACAACAAAGGTATTATAATTATGTTCTAAAGTATTTTCTGGTTGTGTTCTAAAGTATTTTCAGCTTATGTTCTAAAGTATAATAAATTTATATAAATATTATGCATATTATGTTCTAAATTATAATTTCTTATTTTATAGACATTCGTGAACCAAGAAGAAAAGAAAAGCCCTTCTATACTCAGCCAAGATCAACATGTCTTCGATGAACCGGCATTTATTGAAGAATTGGATATGGTTATGGATAAGGCATGGAAGAAATTCGAGGAAACAAGGTCACCAAAGTCACCGACAGTTGGTAATTTCACATGTACATGCTTAATTTCCAAATTATACTTATGTTCTATATTAGATGCTTATGTTTTAAAGTACTTTTTTATGTTCTAAAACATGCGCTTAAATCACATGCTTATGTTCTAAATTATATGATTATGTTCTAAATTAGTTATGTTCTAAATTAGTTATGTACTAAATTAGTTATGTTCTAATTGTTAAGCAGATTTGAGATCAAAGGAAGAGGAAAAAGATAAGAACAAAGAAGAGAGAAATGAAGAGAATAAAGACAAAAACTTGTTGATTCCCTCACCAGTAGTTGGTAATTTCACATTATTTTCAAATTCATTTTTTATGTACTAATATTTACTAGATATGTTCTAATATTACTTCTTATGCTCTAAATTTTTTCTGGTTATGCTTTAAAGTTAATTCTTAATTTTTTATATTCTAACTATTTCTAGGTTGTCTCCTAATTGTATATATTTCTTATGTTCTAAAGTTACTTTTTATTTTCTAATTATTTTTTGCTATTTGCTATAATACTTAATTTTTATGGTGTAATTGCTATGAAGATTTGGGATCAAAAGAAGAAGAAAAAGAGCAGTACAGAAAAGAGAGAAACGAGGAGGAAAAAATTGAGAAGAAAGAGAAAAGGAATGAGGAGTCACCAAAAACCCCAATTCCTCCAAAAAAGAAGCAACCTTTTGATATAGCTCCTCCAAGTTTCAAGTTATTGACCCCCTCACCAGCAGTTGGTAGTTTTACATTATTTTCAAACTTTTTTCTTTTGAAATAATATTACTAGATTTGTTTTAAAATTACTTCTTATGTTATAAATTTTTTCTGTTATGTTCTAAAGTTATTTCTGATGTTCTAAATTTTTTCTAAATCAGATGCTTATGTTTTAAACTACTTTCTTATGTTCTAAATTATGTGCATATGCTCTAAATTATATGATTATGTGCTAAATTATGTGCATATGCTCTAATAATATGATTATGTTCTAAATTATGTGCATATGTTCTAAATAATATGATTATGTTCTAAATTAGTTATGCTCTAAATTATGTGCATATTTTCTAAATAATATGATTATGTTTGAAATTAGTTATGCTCTAAATTATGTGCATATGTTCTAAATTGTATGATTATGTTCTAAATTATGTGCATATGTTCTAAATAATATAATTATGTTGTAAATTAGTTATGTTCTAAAGTTACTTCTTGTGTTCTAAATTTTTCTGGTTATATTCTAGTTATTTCTAATGTTCTAAATTTTTTCCAACTATTTCTATGTTGTGTCCTTATTGTTTCTACTTATGGTTTGATGTCCCAGAAAATCAAGAAGATAATGAAGCAGAACTCACTTACGAAGAAGTGACAGCAAATGTTCTAAATTGTGCTTTTCTAAATCCAGATCATCCACCTACATTGGATGAAGAGGAGAAGCAAGAAGAGGAAAAAGAGGAGAAGAAAGAAGAGGAAAAAGAGGAGAAGAAAGAAGAAAAGGAGAAGAAGAAAGAAGAGGAAAAAGAAGAGAAGCAAGAGGAGAAGAAAGAAGAAAAGGGGAAGAAGAAAGAGGAGGAAAAAAAGGAGATCCAAGAGGAGAAGAAAGAAGAAAAGGGGAAGAAGAAAAAGGAGGAAAAAGAGGAGATCCAAGAGGAGAAGAGAGAAGAAAAGGGGAAGAAGAAAAAGGAGGAAAAAGAGGAGAATCAAGAGGAGAAGAAAGAAAATGAAGGAAGCAAGAATGAAGAGAAGAACAAAGAAGAAAAAAATGAGAACAAGAAAGGGTAATCATTTTGTAAACTTTAAAACAAATGTTGGTTATGGTTTAGTTAAATTTTAATTTAGAACTTGGTAATAATAAATTTTGGTTTGATTTGGTTATGGTTTTTGTTATCAATAAATTTTCGTTTGATTTAGTTATGGTTTTTGTTATCTATGTGATATTTTTTAATTGAATTAAGTAGGAAACAAGGAGAAGAAAAAGGAGAAGAAAAGACACGGAAAAAAAGAGGAAAGGATAAGCTTCCAATGTACTTGCGTTCACCTTTCATGGTTGAACATGAAAAACTTTTCAAGAATGTGGACAATAGAAAGGTAGCTGAGTATGCGTTTGCTCAAGGAGATAATAAGTAAGACTTTAAAACTTTAAAATTATATGCTTATGTTCTAAGCTATATGCTTATGTTCTAAGCTATATGCTTATGATCTAAGCTATAAATTATGTTCTAAACTTCATTCTTATGTTCTAAACTGCGTGTTCTAAGCTACGAGATTATGTTATAAAGTACATGTGTAAAACTATATGCTTGTGTTCTAAAATAGGTACTTATGTTCTAAACTATATTCTTATGTTTTAAATTATGTGTTTATGTTCTAAACTACATGCTTATGTTCTAAACTACATGCTTATGTTCTGATTTTATTGTTCTGATTTTAGGGAGCTTTTGTATGCTGATAACATGGGGACAACGATTACGAGAGATGAGATTCATAGTCTCATAGAAGATAAGCACATGTTGAACAATGTTGTGGATGCTTATGTTTGCCTATTGAATTTTGAAAATAAAAGACGTGGTGTAGACAAGAAGAGTAGATTCTTTTTCAGTACTGAATGCTATGTATGTTTTCGAACTTAAAATTATAACTATGTTCTAAGAGTAGATTCTTTTTGTTTCTCATATAGATTATACTATGCACCTATGTTCTAATTACTTATGTTTTAATTTCTTTTTCTTTTTCAGCTCATACGTTGTACAGAAAAATACTTCAAATCAAATGAAAGGCAAGATGATAGAATGAAGGCTTTGTTTGATAGAATGCAACAAGAAATGACAACGACCGAAGTAACAAGCTTCAAAAGCATTCAATTGGTAATTTGGTATCTTATTATGTTGTACTTTTTTCTTATTATATGTTCTAATTATTGGTTTTGTTTATGTTCTAATTATTTTTATCTATGTTTTAAAGTATCTACTTATGTTCTAAACTACTTATTTATCTTCTAAACTACTTACTTATGTTCTAAACTACATGTTATAAAAATTATATGCTTGTGTTCTAATCTATATGCTTATGTTCTAAAATGCATGCTTATGTTCTAATTTTGCTTATCTATGTTCTAATTCTGTTTATCTATTAGGTTTTCTTCCCGGTCGTTTTACTAGATCACTACTATTTGCTGTGTGTCAACTTTGTGGAAGGAACATTTGATTTGATTGACAACAGATTTCTTCCACCAAATATTCCTTTTCACAATAAATATGGAAATTACCATAGATTAATGGTAAGACATCAAGTTTACATTTTTTTAATTATACTTTTGTTCTAACTTTTGCCTTATATGTTCTACAGTTTTTCTTTATGTTCTAAAGTTTACCTTATATGTTCTAAAGTTTATCCAATTTTTCAGTTGAATGCATTTGCTGATTTCGTTCACTCAATTGACTCAAATATAAAGAGTGACTTTGTATCCTCCTTCAAAACAAGAAACTTGAGTATGTCATGGAAGAGCAATAAGAACAAACATGATTGTGGAGTGTTCCTGTTGAAGCACATGGAAACATATGAAGGAGAATCTGTAAAACAATGGAATTCGGGACTAGAATTAGACAATGTAAGTTTAAAACATAAGATACATGTTTTAAATTAGTTTCGTTTATGGTTTTGGTGTTATGGTTTTAGTGTTGTGGTTTGGTTTGGTTATTGTTTAGATATATTATGGTTTATTATATTTATTTATACTTATATGCTAAATTATATTCATGTTCTAAATTATATGCTTATGTTCTAAAGTATTTCTGTTTATGTTCTAAAAGTTACTCTTTTTTTTTTTTTTTTTGCAGTTTGACCAAATGTTTATGTTTATGTTCTAAAAGTTACTCTTTTTTTTTTTTTTTTGCAGTTTGACCAAATGAAAAAATTAAGAGTGGAGTATTGTGGGAAGATAATAACAGCAGAAGTAAATGAAGAACGGAACAAAGTGATTAGGAGATCAAAAAAGTGGTTAAAGGAGAACAAAATGGATATATGATTGTTAAGATCTTAAGTTTATATTTGTAGAGAGATATTTGCAAAGAATATAACAGTAATTTTTTATGTTCTATGTATTTACCTGTTACAAGAAATATATTGTTGAATCATATTAAATGCTAAAATTTTAATATAAAATATATCATATAAACTTATATGCTAAATTATATTCATGTTCTAAATTATATGGGTATGTTCTAAAGTATTTTTGATTATGTTTTAATAATTATATGCTTATAAAGTTAGGATATTAGAATATATTATTATATATTAATTTTGACTTAAAACTTAAAGTGTAGAATATTAGAACATAAGAAAATTAAAAAAAAGTAACAAGAAATGACAACAGCCAAAGTAACAAGATTCCAAAGCATTCAATTGGTAACTTGATTCTAATTATATCTTATTATGTTGTACTTTTTTCTTATTACATGTCCAAATTATTGATTTTGCTAATCTTCTAATTATTTTTATCTATGTTCTAAAGTATTTGCTTATGTTCTAAACTGGCTGCTTCTAATCCA